ACACACACACACACGACACACACACGACACACACACACACACACACACACACACACATATATATATAAATATATATATATATATTGGTGAACTCCAACTGTATATAGCCAACTTGGTTTCAGTAAGTACTTAACATTCGTAATGATATTTATACTGCCGCTGAAGTTTTGTCAAATCACACCGTCATTGAGTACATTTTTATATAGTAAATTTGCGGGATGCTGATAGGGCTGGTGCAGTATACAGTACAAGGAAGTGCCCCAGGAGTCCATAGTATGACTAAACACATTTTCGTTTGTAATTCATGTGTGTATACGTTCTACCTGAAATAGGATTGTGAAACTCGTAGGTTGTGTTGTGTGCTGTTGGTTGGAACACGAATGCACAACCGGTATGTTAAAATGAACCTACCAATTTGGAAGTAAAAACCTTTATTAAAAAACGTTGTTCATTGTAGAGTCTGTATTCAAAAACTGGTAAAAACAACCGGCTTTGCCTTCTCAAAAGTAACTGCTACCTACGTTATCACCTAACTGCTACCTACGTTATCACCTAACTGCTACCTACGTTATCGCCGAGCCTCTCAATCGACTACGAATACCAGTAACAGGCGTGGCCTTGTAGCTCTAGCTAGCATCTCTGCATTTTATGGCACAGTTCCTTCATAGCTCGACCAATTGTCATTTGTCAAGTTTAAAAAGCAAGGCTAGATCACGAATCTATTCAAACACTAAAATTCCGACAACGAGCGTAGCGGAATGAACCATGTATCCAGGTTTATTGTTTTTCAATCAGCGCTCCTAGCGCTCTAATTATCGTTTATTTTATAAGTTCATTTGTCTAATAAATGAATACTTAAGCTCCTTGTATACTCCATTCGAGCTCCGACCGTGCAGCAGTCTGGGTGAGGCGTCGTGACCAAATTACGGCTCTGGAGCTCCTAGCGCTTGTGCAATCTGGCCTCCTAGCAATGTAATTATTCTGAAATGGTTCTTCTCGGCCATGGAACGATATTTACGAACAATCTAGGAATACGCATTCATCATCCAAATCGTCATCCAACAAATCGTCCCTATTATCATCGTCAGACACTTCGACGGCCTTCTTTACCTTGCTCTTACTCGGTGATCCCAAGAAATCAATCAAGGTCTTGGCTTTTTTTACTCGTCTATGTGCCGGTTTGTTTTCGCCGGTGGGTGTGTCGGATATAGTACCGTTGATGCTATGCACAGCTACTCCTTGGGACGTTGACATCAGATTTTCCGTATCCATTGCCGATCGCTTAGAAGATGTGCTTTCCTGGTTCCCTACACCGGCTTTGCCAAGTACGCCCAATTTCTTATTGAGTTTCTCCCACATGACATCGTCCATTGTGTTGGGGGCGTGCAGGTACTGGATGGTGACGTCCTTGTTCTGTGATATCCGGTGTACTCTATCTTCGGCCTGTAAAAAGAATACCAGATGTTGCAGATGATGGGCAGATATTGAGAAAATCCGGATATTTCATCGACGACCACTCATATCATCCGAGTTGGTCAAAATTAACCGCATATCGACTACGAGATACATATACTATAGACCGAGCGACGAAACACTCAAAATAGATTTTAATCACACACGGCTTCAAACGTAATTGAAAATCGCAGTACGTGATACACTCGAATACGTGCATACGCTTCTGAGCATAAAACGCAACATATTATTTGCGAAGTTTGTGCCCTACCACTCACGATATACTGAGGAAATATACATATACACTGTGTGAAAGATTCGCTCGTTTAAATGCGATCCACACCTGGAGCAAGTCACCAGGATTCCAAGCAAGTTCAGCAAATATCACTGTGGCTGATGCCGTGAGCGTCAATCCAGCGTTCGCGGCAAGAAGACTCAGCAGAGCTACACGGCATGTGGGCACCTCTTGGAACCTTGCTGCTTTTTTTTGTCTAGCTTTGCTGTTTGTTGAACCATCGATCCGTATGTAGTCCACGTCCTGGGAAGCAAAATATGTGGGTATGAATATTAGCGAGCCAATATACGAAGAGGGCTACTATTGGATTTGATATTAGTCAGTTAAATAGTAATAATGACGAATCGACTACAACATGGATTTGCACACAGTTCGTATAAAGCATCGACCAAATCAGAAGCTTGTATGAATTCCATTCACATAGTTCGAATAATATTATACAGCACAATTTTAATCACAGAGGAGGATTTTTAACGACTTCGAGCTCAGTATCGTCGGCCCGAAGCGATACCTTTCTTTTCATCACATATTCTAGCTCAGACATCATCTCGTTGTGTTGACAGAACACAACGAACTTCACCGGTTGATCGAGTAATCTATCGATGTAGTCGCACACCGCAGGGGTCTTTGCCACGGCTGTAATAGTATGGTGTTTCACATTTACTATGAGAATATACAAGTGTCGCATTGTACCATACATGGAAATATCAGTATCTCATTGTACCATATATAAATATTGGTCTCGCATCTGGGTTATGTGCTGACAAAACAAAAACCCCTCAAGTGCACACAACTAGTTACACACGTCTTATATTACTGTGAAGATCTTATCAAGCGCATCTTTACCCCGTTGAACATTTGTAGCATTCTTTTACGTATGTAAACACACAGGAAGATCGAATTTAGGATTCACCCGGTAGGTACCATCTTTAAATTTCATGTTCGCAGGCTTCAACACCGTCAAAGTGTGTGATACTATACGCACATACATACCAGTCTCGTGGAAGTACTCGATGAAGTTCTTATTGTTGAGATGGTTGATTTTCCGCATGCTATCTGCCAGGTATTTCTTTGACTTCTCGTCTATGTCGATATTCACTCTGTGTCTGATCTTTTTGGTCAAGCTCTGCAATGTCGCTAGTTGGTCTTGTACCTCTGACTTCAAGCGCCTGACGGACAGAACAACACGTCACCAACAATTGAGATCGAGACGCTAAAACATCTCTTGATAGCGTATGGCTGCTAGTACATCGCCACTATACTATAGAGAGTGAGGATATAGAGGGATGATATACTATCCTTTTGTTGTGCGCATACCTCTTTCAATGAGAGGTGTATGGTTTGAGACTACTCCACGCACTAAATGAATGAATTTGTTGCGTCACCGCAATTTGAATTCTAAAAGTCAACGTACAGGAAACATACCCAGAAGACAAACCCTTCCCTATGATTAGAAAAACCAGCCGTAATCGCAACTATAAGCTATAGCGTTTGGTTACAAATCAAACCCTTCCCTATGATTGAAAAAACCTGCCGCAATCGCAACTATACGCATGGTTAGAAGACAAACCCTTCCCTATGATTAAAAAAACCTGCCGCAATCGCAACTATAAACTAAAGCGTTTGGTTAGTAGACAAACCCTTCCCTATGATTAAAAAAACCTGCCGCAATCGCAACTATAAGCTATAGCGTTTGGTTATAAGACAAACCCTTCCCCGTGATTAAAAAAACCTGCCGCAATCGCAACTATAAGCTATAGCGTTTGGTTATAAGACAAACCCTTCCCTGTGATTTAAAAAAA